TCGTCTGTTTAGATTCTCATCACTCTTCCTTTCAGTTTATTCAGAAACATGAAAAATATCGTTTCTTTGACGTTAGTTTTTCTCAACCATAAATTGATTTTGAACGAACAGTGATGTATACTTATATATATTATACCATGCTCATAATGTATACTTATATATATATATACACACATATTATACTATGCTCATAATGTATAAGAAAACGCGGGGATCATGAAAATAACATTGATGTGTATATATATATATATATTGATACAATGCTCTTAATATATAATAAAACGCGGGAATCATAAAAGCTGTTATTACACTTGTCGAGTTAACCTACTGCCAATCCGTTTTAGTTTTGTATTTTTCTTTAAGGAAATCCATTGTGTTAATTAACGATTTTCTTTTATTTACTAATTATTTATTTTTACTAATGGATTCTACTGTTAATTCAGAATATATGTTATACCTTACTCTTGAAGCATAAGGGTCTCATAAGCTCAAAATACTTTGGCACTATTACTTTCTTGGCCTGGCATGGCCAGATGGTTAGGGCGCTCGACTCGCAATCTGAGGGGTCGCGGGTTCTTTATAATGTAACGGTCAATCCCACTATTCGTTGGTAAAAGAGTAGCCCTACAGTTGGTGGTGGGTGGTGCCTTCCCTCTAGTCTTTCACGGCTACATTAAGGACGGCTAGGACGGATAGTCCTCGTGTAACTTTGCGAGAAATTCGAAACAAACCAAACTGTTTTCGATGGAAGTATATATACAAAATTGCTTTGAAAACTCTTTATTCCTCTGATATGGGCGAAACAGGTCGACCTTTGGATGAATAAGCACAGATGTATTCTTTTATATATTTTGATAGAGAATAACAGTAAATGGACAGCATCCAAAGTTTATAGGAAGAAATTATTCACGAACAAAATGACAAATGTAGGAGGTATAAAAGCGACTCTTTATCAAGCGATATTATAAATACGAATCCAGACCAACTCCATTTCTCTTTTCTGATGAAGCAACCTTATAACTTCTTGTTGCTGCCACCGTTGCTTATTGATTTGATTGCTGTTTCTGTCATCTGACGCTGGAAACTGTTTATTTTGTCATATTAATATTACACTTGATAGCGTTGAGTTAATTTATCGAAATGTTACATTTTTGGGGATTTCTGACTTTTTTATTAGAGGTCTTTCGTAGGTTTCTTTTAAATATTTTAAAACCATTCATTGATTTGTGTGGTAAAGAAAGAAATGGTTACTATGGTGATTGATCTGTGAAGCTAAATCATTTATTCATTTATCTAAGAAATTTATGAATCTCTAAACATATAATTTATTCATCCTAGTAACAAAAAAGAAAAAAAAGGACCACGATGGCTGACCTACGAACTTAAACAATTTATTTATTTTTGTAACAAAAAAAAAAGTATTGATGACATTGCTGACCTATGATCCCAAATAATTTGTTTATTTTAGTAAAAACAACAACAAAAAACAAACAAACTATGAACATGGCAACTGACCCATGAACCAGACACAGTAACCAGTTTTGTTTTGTTTTCACTACTGAAATTATTAAAAAATTAATGGTTTATTTACACGGACAGTTATTGTGACTAGCCTGTCCGTTGTTGTTTAAACGAATGAATGTATTATGCTTATATAAGCAAGAAATTCTGGAACAATTCATAGCAACTTTCATATGAAATTAAACTTTTAATTCACTTCAGTAAAAATAAAATAAAGGACTAATCACTATTTCAAATCGAGTTATACTTGGATAGCTTCAGAGTCGTATATACACACTGGTGATCTTCAATATTGTGAACGAGTGCTTATTATATAACAAGGCTGGAATGGAGTAAACCAATAAATAAGCTAACACGCCTCATAAGGGTCACCCTTCACCTATGACCTCAAATGTAACTTTGTTCCGTCACACGTACTTTTAATCATGTCTTTACTAGGGTACGTAATATTCACAAAGGATCTTGTTCATGTGTTTAAGCACAAAGTTACACCATGGACCCACCGCGAGTATCAAAACCTGATTTTTAGTTTTGTAAGTCCTTAGACTTACTGCTGACCCGCCGGTTTGCCACAAAAAATCTAGATGGTTGGGTCATAAATACTTACGTTGTTCTGTTGTTTTTTAGTCTATATGTTTTTAGGTTACATCGTTAATAAAACTAGACCCGCCGGTTTGCCACTAAAAATCTAGCTGGTTGGGTCATAAATACTTACGTTTTTCTGTTGTTTTTTAGTCTATATATTTTGAGGTTACATAGTTAATAAAACTAGATCCGCCGGTTTGCCACTAAAAATCTAGTTGGTTGGGTCATAAATACTTACGTTTTTCTGTTGTTTTTTAGTCTATATGTTTTCAGGTTACATTGTTATTAAAACTGGACCCGCAGGTTTGTCACTAAAAATCTAGCTAATAAAACTAGATTCGATGTATGTACTGTCACATCTTGCCAAATGCTCTGTTGTTTTCTCTTTCCGTCCTGTGAGCTATAACCGAGAAATGTAAACTGATCAGAAAAGTCACTTAAAATAAATAAAAATTGCCTCTACGGTATATGTCTTATACTCACCTGAACTTGACAGATGTAGACATTAATCAACCTTACAGGTAACGGCTAGCTGATGGTATGATGTCGCAGAAAATCTCATTAACTCGTGTTATTTTTTTTTTGGTCAGAAATCAGTATCAGAAGATGCAGGACAACCAGTTAGTGTTCATAGATTTGTATACTTCTGAGATTATTTCTTGGTGAACAAAGTTGTTAATTATTTATTTTTACAATTATGATTATAGTTATTTAAACTTTTATATAACCAATTCGTGCAAAAGTGAATTATCATGCAACGTTTTCTGGTGCAACGAAATATTTTAATATAAGTGTTATCAGGCCCGACATGGCCAGGTGGTTAGGGCGCTCGACTCGCAATCTGAGGGTCGCGGATTCGAATCCCCGTCCTACCAAAACATGCTCGCCCTTTCAGCCGTGGGGGCGTTATAATGTGACGGTCAATCCCACTATTCGTTGGTAAAAGAGTAGCCCAAGAGTTGGCGGTGGGTGGTGATGACTAGCTGCCTTCCCTCTTGTCTTACACTGCTAAATTAGGGACGGCTAGGGCAGATAGCCCTCGTGTAGCTTTGCGCGAAATTCAAAAAACAAACCGTTTTCTCTAATCACCTTGACTTTCTTACTGTCATTTCACACTTTTAAAGTGTTGAGCACAACAATCTTGTCAAGAATACACATTATTGGCGAACCCCAAGTTCTAGTGCGAACTTCAAGTACGCCCTTTGGCGTTACTAAATAATTTTCGACACGTCAATCACTATTTGCAAATTGCTTGGGTTTGAAATATTTTATTTTACATTTAACAAATAACTTTATAACTTTTCCTTTTCTTTTTTATGTAACTGTAAAAAAATAGCTTAAGCAGTAGTTTAATTTCTAACGAATATTTTGTGATTTTTTTTTCTGTTCGGGCTTTTGTCTTGCAAGGGATGAAAAATTAAAATGACAGAATAAAACCACTAACGTTACAAAACGATTATTTTACGCTTCTGCAATAAAAAGTTTCGTATAAAACATTATACGAAATAAAATAACAGTTTTTATTTTCAAAAAATCATAATTAGGCTTAACACTGGTTTATAGGATGTAATCTTCCTTAGGTGAACCTGTTCTATATTACACTTATATTCTAACTTGATTGTTTATTAACGATACCTGAACACACATATTCTGAAAACTTGGCAAACTGGTAGTGTAATCATTTCAAAACAAACACTTCATAAATATTATGATAACTAACCAGTATAAGTAGTTTGTTCCTAAAAGTTTCTGCATTAAACTTAATTCGTTTCAATAAGTTTTTCTCTCAGTTATCACAGTAAAAACCCGTGATCTATAAAACCAGCTTTCACAATGATAATCCTTTATTCATTCACGTTGTGGGTTTGTGAATTTGTTTGTCCGCAAACTCTTCTCCCACTTTTGGAGCTAGCAGGACCAAACTTGGCAGACGAACTCGGGGTGATCCAGCGGGCATCCTTATTTAGCCCCTACTAAGGGGGTAACTGAAGTAGCCTCCCCAATAGGCCACCCGGTCACTATGGGGGCCTAGGATTATGTTTTCAGGGTTACCGAGTTGAAATCTGATATTAAATTTTGTGTTTGTGCTTCTCCCTCCCCTGGGATCCCGGGGACGCCATTTTTGAAGTTCATATCCCCCCTCACAAGATAGCAGGACGAAACCTGGCTCACTTACTGAGGTACCACGAGTGGCTATCCTAACGATTTGTTTTCTCGGGTACTTACTCCTTTGGGGTAGATATAAAAGTAACTGGGGATAATGGAGAATTTTTATCAGTACATTGGAATCTCTGCGGATCACGAGGGGTCCTATGAACCCTGCAGCGGCGTGCAGCATTTTATTTTAGTCTTATAAGGATAGTTAAGGAAAGATAGATTTCCTTAGTAAGGAAAATCCAATTATAAATGACTACTTCATATGGCGTTTAATTAAAAACAACGACAAAAAAAAACAACAACATGTAAATGTATGAAATGTATTTTACTTAAATATAACGATGAGCCTAACAAGCAATATTTATACTGAAGAGGTGTATAAGAAGACAAAACAGACGCTGGAAAATAAGCTTCTGTGGTACGTGAGTACTTATATATCACGGAACCAGACTACAGGGCACGTCAGTAGTTAAGATAATGATGTGACCAACCTTTAATGGTAAAAGCGGCGAGCTACCTCGCGCTCGTTAGTCTCTCTCTCTCTCATTCGCTAATTTACTTAACCAAAGACTCGTCGTCTCATAAGAAATTTAGATAAAGATGTAAGGCGTCATCCAGAAGGCTTCTTAAGGAGATAATGGTTGAATTAGATGGGAGCCTAAGAATAAAAATATTAAGGTTTCAATCGATGAAATAAAGTATTTATTCATCATTTTTGTTGTTTTCTATTAATTTAGGAATGAGTATTGAAGCTATTGAAGACGAAAATCAGCAGCTCATTAACGACCTCTACCGTCTTCTGAAGAAATATACAAACCTGCGGAATATCGTTCATGAATTGAATCTAGCATACAGAGACGCGAGACTTTATCCTATTATACCTCGTTATACCATGCTAAAAGAAATGATAAAAGACGTATTGAGAGACCCAAACTATATGGAGGTATGCCACGAAGACGTGGGGAAAAATTTGTGATTAACGCGCTTCAAATTGATCGCTGAGACAACGTCGCTGGTCGTGTCAGGAAGTTGCCGCCAGAAGGACACGCAAATTAATGTTTTGTTGATGTTGTTTTCAGTCTATCTACTTAATGTCTGTGATGTTTGGCAAATTCGTGCAGTTTTTTTGTTTCAAAAATAACTTTAAACAGTAATAAATGAAACGTTAAGAAGGTCAGCATCTATATGCAAGGAAACGCGTGTGTAACGGCTTATATCTAAGGTAACCCATTATGATTTTCTGTTTAAAAAAATAATGCCGGCTCTGTACTCTAAAAATAAAATGAAAATTTGTTGTCGACATGGATTATTTTTTGTAACACAAGTACTTTCATTTTTGTAAACTATTTTTTATTACACGTTCACACTAATTTTATTACAAGATCATTTTGTGTGAACAATACGATTTGTTAGTGCTCGTGGAATAATACGATCCAATCAGTATAAACGACACAGCATACAACACAATTTTATGCACAAGTTGTTACACATAGATTGGTAGTTGCCCCCAGTGGCTCAGCGGTAATTCTGCAGATGTACGGTGCTAAAATCGGGTTTCGATACCTGTGGTGGGCACAGATTAGCTTTGTGCTTCACTTTAGCCAATCCAAAGTACGTAGGACATGCCGCTGTGCTACTGGGGGGCCTCTCAGTCAGACAACCATCAATAGCTCTTGAAGAACTTCAAGTACTTAAATACACACACAAAAATACACACTGGTGTATCTGTGGAAAATTTGGATTTGAATAAAATACACACTGGTGCATCTGTGGAAAATTTGGATTTAAATAAAATACACACTAGTGTGTCTGTGGACAATTTGGATTTAAATAAAATACACACTGGTGTATCTGTGGACAATCTGGATTTAAATAAAACACACACTGGTGTATCTGTGGAAAATTTGGATTTGAATAAAATACACACTGGTGTATCTGTGGAAAATGTAGATTTAAATAAAATACACACTGGTGTATCTGTAGAAAATGTGGATTTAAATAAAACAATACTGGTGTATTTATGGAAAATTTGGATTTGAATAAAATACACACTGGTGTATCTGTGAAAAATTTGGATTTGTGCTGAGGAAATACTGATTAGAGGTATAGGAGGCAAATTAAAAGTGCCACGAGCGCAACCATTACGGCCAGGGTCCAAGTCCCGCCTTAGAGCCCTAGAAGCTTTTGGATTAAATTTTATGCATTCTCCTGCATATTTTGAGAATAATTTTCTTAATTTTGATGCATTTTTACTGGGTCAGATTGAAAAGAGCTCCCTACCCCCGCTTTCTACGCCACTGCTGATGCGGAAACCCATTTCACTCAACGATTTGTAAACAAAATAATCACAGAGTTAGCGCACTCGAGCTTCCCCATTCCACTGAACATTTCTTATTAAAGTATAAACTATAAAATAAATAAATGAATGAATTATGAGAAAAATTTAGCGTGTTCTTTATAGACGAATATTTGCTACCACATGGTATAACTTAAGACTCATCTGTTTGTTTGTTTCTTTATTTTGAATTAAGCACAAAGCTACACCATGGGCTAACTGTTCTCTGCCCACCACGGGTATAGAAACCTGATTTCTAGTGTTGTAAGTCCGCAGACATACCGCTGTGCCACTGGGGGGGGGGGGGGGGTGGGGTACTAGAAACTAAACTTACTTTCTAAACGTACGGTACGTCAACGTCCCTACCTACCTCCGTTCCGTACCCTAAAACTAAAC